AAACTCTACTGTAGTTAAAAAATCACAAAAATTAGAAACAACACCTAACATTTAGTCTTGAAACTTACTATGTTCTAACTTTTTTTTACTAACAGACAGGGGTCAAAAGATGCTAATTCCCAACAAACGGAGGCATCCTCCAGTCACAGTCAGACAAATGCAGAAATTTTTACTAATCAAGAAAGTGAAATAAGTCAGCAAGATATTACGACCGAACAGTTAAGAGTACATACAAATACAGTGCCGTTGACTATAACTGGTGCACAAGCCACACGGTCAGAATCAGTAACCTCTACTTCATGCTGTAATGTCATATGTCGCAATTCAAATATGACCCAGGCCTACCAACCAGATGATGAATGTATAATCCAAATGACAAGAAAACAAACTGGAAACATAAGAGAGTTTATGTTGTTTCAAAAGTCATGGTATGCTAAATGGTCGTGACTGACATTCTGCGTAACAAGGCATAAAGACATTTTGCTTCTATTGTCGATTTGTTAAAAGTATCGACAAACTTACTTAAGCAAAAGAAAGGAACCTGCCTTCGTGACAACAGGGTTCAATAATGGCCGTTACTAAATTTAATGAGCACAAACCAAGTGACGCACATAGGGAAGCCTGTGTGCATAACATGGTTCTATTTATATTATTAAGCCTATTTAGAAAAGTACCAGCTTATAATTCAAAAGACAAATTCTGTAACAAGTCAGCTTTCAAAGCAGATAGGACAAAACCATAACAAAAGACAAATTCTTTTAGTAGGATTATTGTCCTTAAAGCTTTTTCTAGGTCAAGGTCTTGCAATTCATGGTTTCAATACATTAGCTTTCAATACATTAGAGACAACGTTCTTCAAGTTTTATTCATCACAAAGTTCATTATTTCTACACGAAAATTCAAAAGTATTAAAAAAAGTTGATTTCCTACTGAACAAAACAAGTGCAACTCCACAAAATGTTGACCAAGCTGTATTTCTCTATCAATATTTCGTGGCGAATCCTTTGTTGTCGATTACAGCCTTGCATCTTTGAGGCATAAATTCGATCAGGTGATCAATGAAACTTTGTGGAATCGCTGCCTAGGCCTTTTGGATTTATTCAAACAGTTGATCCTTATTACGAACACCTTCGCGATTAATTCAGCTGCTGACAATCTCCCATAGGTTATCGATAGGGTTGAGATCCGGAGGTTGAGGCAGCCAATCCATCACCGATAGGTGGTTGTCTTGAAACCACTGCTAGACTACTTTTGCAGGGTGTTTCGGATTGTTGTCTTGCTGAAAAAATTATTTTGTTGGCATATTCCATTCAGCATGAGGTAACATAACATCTTTCAGGATATTTTATACATGAAACGGCCCATTATTCCATCGATTCGATGTATTGGACCTAGACTGTTAGCAGAAAAACACCCCCAGACCATTACATTGCCACCACCATGCTTCACGGTCTCATAGCAGTAACGTAAATCGAGGCGTTTTCCTGCCGGTTGACGTACACGGCAAATGCCTTCGCTCCCAATGATGTTGAACTCTGATTTATCACTGAACAGGACAGTTCGCCATTTCTGCACATTCCAGTCAATATGAGATGTAGCAAACAGAAGTCTTTTCTTCTGGTTATTTAGTGAAATCAGCGGTTTCTTTGCAGGGCGTCAAAAAAACAATCCGGCTTCAACAGCAACTGTTCGGTCCGATACAGGCAGCTCTAATTGCTTTTGTATCTCGACTGATAATATCCAGGGATCCTTCTTGACGGATCTGACGAACATAGAATCCTCTCTAAAAAAGGTGGAACGCGGTCTTTTACCTTTGTTATCTGCTGCCAACTTCCCCGTAGAACGATATTTGGAACATAGTCTTGATACGGTTCATTTTTTCACGCGATATTTATCACAAATACTTTTTTGTGACATTCCACTTACGTAATCACCAAAAATTTTCTTTCTTAGTTCCAATCCAAGACTGTCGGGATAGCTATTTTTGCACTTGAAGTCATAAAAATAATTTAAAAAAATAATCATGCTTCTCAAAGCTTATCGAGTTACATTTACCTTGTGGTGATACAATAATGCTCTGTGGAACACAACGTCTTGATTGGATGCGGACTGTATTGATGTAATGAAATACTTGTTGTATTTCATTTCTTGTATTGATGTTCTTCGATAAAACACTTTGATAAAACTCACTTCGATAAACTGACTGATTGACTTCCATAAACTGACTGAATTACATGTCGGTTTACATGTCTCTTATATAGTAAAATGAACCAGTGTGAACCTATTCTGTAAGATTCTAGATTCTTCTTTTCGATGCTTCTGGAAGCTTCTGGATGCGTCAGAATGCTTCTGAATGTTTCTGGATACTTCTGGATGCTTCTGGATGCTTCCAGATGCTTCTTCTGGAAACTTCTGGACGCTTCTGCATGCTTTAGGAAACTTTTGGAAACTTATGGATACTTCCTTTAATTATTAAAAAATTCCGTGACGTTGACAAGGACCAGACTTAAGAAAATGAAACAAACCAAAAAAGTTGCAATTGTTTTGTCCGCTGCAAAATGGCACTTGTCAACGAAATTCTGCCTGTGTGCTGTCACCTGTCAGCTAATTGCTCATGTCATGACTCCAGACTCCTGAACTGTTTGCTGTGGTAGTTTAGTTCGTTTCGTTTTTAAGGCATGTAAAATTAAGAACACTTTTTAGCATTGTTCGATGTTGGTTGCAAATGTTTTGTCCAATACTGTAAATCCATAGCTAAAACTACTAACTAACTTTTGCATTTGATATATATTTCGTACTGAAACATTATTTTAAGATTAACTTGTGATTTGCTAGCAAAATATGAATAATTTGATACTTATGCTAATCTGATGAAAACCTCTGACTAAATAATGTAAATTAATGTAAATAAATTAATGTAAATAAAGCAGTATAAACAAATAATAACTCACAGAATAGGTACTAGTTTATCCAATTTTTCATTTGTGTTTAAGTAGGCTTCAGCGCAAATATTTTGCTTAAGATAATCTTGATTAATTAATGAATGCATGTTTTCTTCAGTCAAAAAAGATAAAGAATCAATTTGGAGAAAATACTTTTTGTTAATCTCCTCGAATGTAATTTTATCGCTTTTCTATAATGCAATTCGTACATTATCAAAAATCTTAGACATCTTAAATTAGACACTTGAATCGCCAATATTGTCGTTTTCTAGATTTTTTATGCGTAAACTATATCCCGATCTGCCAAATTTCAAGCAAATAGCTTAAATTTTTTTTAATTTCCACCTTTTTATGCCTAAACCTAATCCAATCAGCCAAGTTTCAACCAAATATGCCTAATTTTCTTAATTTCCTGTTCAGATCGCCTCAGATCAGGTGGCCTTAGGCATAAAAACCAACCGGCCAAATTTTAACTAAATCGGGCTAAATTTCTTATTTTCCAGATTGCCTTAAATAAGGCGAAATTTGTTTAGTCTTATGCATAAAAAAGCCATTTCGCCAATAATAATATTTAACACTCTCGCGGTATTTCTTCTTAGGCGGGCGCCTAATCTGGATCCGCCACGGATGAAGCCCTTTATCATATCATATATCATATCATATATTGTCTTTCGTAACCTTCCTACGCCACTGTATATATATATATATATATATATATATATATATATATATATATATATATATATATATATATATATATATATATATATATATATATATATATATATATATATATATATATATATATATATATATATATATATATATATATATATATATATTGTTATGATTGTTATTATTATTATTATTATTATTATTATTATTATTATTATTATTATTATTATTATTATTATTATTATTATTATTATTATTATTATTATTATTATTATTATTATTATTATCATTATATATAAGGAGAGTAAGCATGTCGACAAAAGGGAGAGGAGGGGGGTAAAAAATAGACAAAAACTACGTGACATTACTATACGGGCGAGCTCTGCAGGGCAGAGTTCAAGTTTTTTCCAAATTCCAAGGTGTGTTTTCGTGTAATGTAAAATATAAAGCTAAAAGTTACTTTTCCTTTATTATTTTACAGACCAGTAAAATAATAAATGAAACAATAAAGTTGTATACAGTATGTAGTTTTATATGTGATAAATTTAAACATGATGTATAAATATCATTATTCTTATTCATATTGTTCTTTTTATCATTATTGTTTTTATTATAACTCTATTCGAATAAAAGTACATATCTAGATATATATGTACTTTACTTTGTAAAAGTAAAATTTTATAGTTTTTATATATAATATAATATATATATTATATATATATATATATATATATATATATATATATATATATATATATATATATATATATATATATATATATATATATATATATATATATATATATATATATATATATATATATATATATACATATATATGTATATATATATATATATATATATATATATATATATATATATATATATATATATATATATATATATATATATATATATATATATATATATATATATATATATATATATATATATTAGTATTAACATATATCATGTAATCAGCATATAGTGTTAAACTCTCCTTTGTAATTAACTTTTAGTGAATAAGATATCAAATATAGATAGAATAAAATAAGATTTTAAGTGAATAACACTGATAAAAATATTAATGATTTGTTTAAATTTGTTTTATTTTGCCTTAAATTAGGACAAAATTAAAAAAAAAAAAAAATATAAGACTTAATGTTCAATCTTTTTCAAGAAATTGTTTTTTTTTTTTGTTTTTTTTTTTTGTTTTTTTTTTTCTATTTTCTTTTCAAACTGCCTTTCTTGTTTGTTTTTTTTCTATATGGAATCTGTTTTTTTTGAATAACTTATTTGGTTTTCAGAATAGCATAAAGTTATGAGCTCTTTTTCTTCAATTTACATGCTTAAACATAAATAAAAATGTTTTTAATATTATAGATTCGTGTATAATGGGTCTGTTAAGCCATGCAATGTGTACTACAACAACTCTTCTTCACAATAAAACTGTTATAATAACTGGTGCAAATGTTGGGATTGGCAAAGAAACTGCTTTAGAACTTGCAAAGCGTGGAGCAAATGTAGTAATGGCTTGCAGAGACTTGAAAAAAGGAGAAGTTGCATTGAATGAAATAAAATCTGCAAGCAAAAATGATAATATATTTTTGAAAAGTCTTGATCTTTCCTCCTTAGAATCAGTTCGGGAATTTGTTGCAAATTTTCTTCAAGAGTTTAATACACTACACATCTTGATAAACAATGCAGGTATAATGATGTCACCATATTGGAAAACAAAAGAAGGATTTGAAATGCAGATTGGTGTCAATCATTTTGGTCATTTTGTTTTAACCAATTTGCTGTTAAAATGCATGTTAAAAACAGAGGGTCATGGAAGAATTATAAATGTAAGTTCACGAGCGCATGGCTATGGTAGTATCAATTTTGATGATATTAATTCTGAAAAGAGTTATAATAGTGTAAAAGCATATGCTCAAAGCAAACTAGCGAACATTCTTTTTACTGAAGAACTTCAGCGCAAGTTAGTAAATACCAATCTTACCACTTATTCTTTGCATCCAGGTTTTGTTAAAACAGATCTTGGTCGTTATGGATTACTTACAAGATTTTTTTATGCTACTGCTGGTAGTTTGGTTGCAAAAACCTCCCAACAAGGCGCCCAAACTTCTATTTACTGTGCTACTAAAGAAGGGTTAGAAGAACATGCAGGTAAATACTTTGCAGAATGCAAAGTATCACCAACTTCTAATTCTGCGTGCGGTGATGAAATACAGGCAAAAAAATTATGGGACCTTAGTGAAAAAATGACTGGTACAGTATTTGAACTTTAACTTCTATTTTATTATAACTTTGCATCGTAAATATATTTTATTTAAAATTAAAAAAAAAATTATTTGATTTTTTGTTTATTGTGTAATTTTTTAATAGTGCTAAACTTATTTATTTTTTAATAGTAATTTGATGGTTATTTTATTTTAAGTTATATATTTCTGTGTTTTTTTATTTTATTTATATAATTTTTTTTTTTTACATTGTGATAATCATATCTATCAATTTTGAGTCAAAATTTTAATTGTTAACTACTTGGATAATACTGATTAAATTATTTTTGTTCTTCTGTTATTATATATATATATATATATATATATATATATATATATATATATATATATATATATATATATATATATATATATATATATATATATATATATACATATATATATATATATACATATGTATATATATATATATACATACATACATATTGTGTAAAAACTGTGTAAATGGCTAACATAATACAAAGTTGTTTCATGAGAAAGGAATTGAGGGGAACCTAATTACAAATTGTTTGATGACTCACTAATTACAAACTGTTTATCACATGGTTATTTATTAAAATGGCTATGAAAGAATAATTTTTAGTAATGTATTTTGTAAAGTATTTTACTACCAATATATAAAGACAAAGTTGAGGAAGGCTAGATTGCAATTAAAAAAAGGAAATGCAGCCTATTGACCATAGATTATTTGATAATTAATTTCGATGAAAAGTTTCAGTAGTACTTAAAATTACGGTTTTATTTAAAGTTATGGATCATTGTTTTTATCACTTTTTATTGGGATGTATTTGAGGCATACATAGTTGTCTTTAAGTTTCTGCTTTTTTTTTTTTTTAATGTAATCCTTAATTTTCCATTTTTTTATACTTGTATTAAGATCATAATAAAGAACACAAAAAAAGTATACATATATGATACACACACATATACACATAAGATTTTATATGGATTAAAGAGTTTTATTTAATTTTTTAATACAGAACTTTATTTACTATCATCAATGTAATAAACCATGGATGGTCATCTTTCTGGTGACTTTATTACAAAAATGCTTAGCTTCCTGTTCTTTTCTCTGATGCACGTGATTGCAAAAACTTGTTTAACTATAACATTGTGTCTAATTTAAATAAAATAACATGGAAAATTTCCCTTCATAATAATAAAAAATAATAAAAATAAAACTCTTTAAATTGCTTATTTCATGCTTTTATTATATAATTTTTTTATACTAATTAATATAAAATTAAAAGTTTTTTTTTTTAGTTTTATAAAATGTTAGAACATTTTGATATCAAGGCAGTTGCTTTTTTTACGATTGTTGTTGGTTTTCTTCTTTATAAAAAAATCTTTAATGTGTTTTGCGAAGCAACAACGAGGTTGGATGGCAAGATTGTTATAGTTACTGGAGGAAACACAGGCATAGGTAAAGAAACTGTTAAAGACCTTGCAAAAAGAGGTGCTACAGTTATAATGGCATGTCGTGATATGAAAAAAGCTGAAGCCGCTCAAGCGGAGATAAAAAAAGAAACCCTAAATGATAATGTTTTTATAAGGCATTTGGAGTTAGGATCTTTAAAGTCAATAAACAATTTTGTAATATCATTTTTGAAAGAATTTCATGAACTTCATATTTTGATTAACAACGCTGCCATTGTTTGTCCTTATCAAAAAACTGAAGATGGATTTGAAATGCAGTTTGGTGTAAATTATTTAGGACACTTTGCGCTAACGAATTTGCTTTTAAAACGCATGAGAGAAACAAAAGGATTAGTTCGAGTAATCAATGTAAGCTCTCATGCTCATTATTTTGCCAAAATAAAATTTGACGATATCAACTCCGAAAAAAGTTACGGCTCTCAATCGGCGTATGCTCAGAGTAAACTTGCTAATATTATGTTTACAAAGGAATTGCAAAGAAGACTCACTAATACAAATATTATAACATTTGCTGTTCATCCTGGGTTTGTAAGTACCGAAATAGGAAGGAATTTCTTATTAGCTAAAATTTTTTTGGCAATATCCAGAATTTTTCAAAAGAGTCCTAAATTAGGAGCACAAACGTCAATTTATTGCGCAGTTACTGCTGGTCTTGAAAAACATGCTGGTAAATATTTTGCAGATTGCAGCGTAGCAAAAATCCGTAACAAAATTTGTGACGACGAGGGGCAATTAAAAAAGTTGTGGGAGATAAGTGAAAATATGACAAAAATATCTTTTCCTCTTTGAATTTGTTAAAATCATATGTTACCTTAAATTTACTATAAGTTTTTTAATTTAAAATTGTAATATTACTCTTACAATATTAATTACTTATTAAATGTTTGTAAACTTGTGAATGTTTGTAATATTGTATGTTATATTTGTTGTAATAAATAAAAGTAATGTTCAGAACTTAATTAATTTGCAGTTTCTCAGAACAAAAGTTGTACAATATAAACATAATCTGTTGGTCATATGAAACAAAACTATTATTAGTTCGTTTAAAGTTTTTATGATTCACATGCTTTGTGGAAAATATTATATGCAGAATTCGCATACTATGTGTAAAATAATATATGCATGATTCACATGCTTTGTGTAAGGTAAATATTTAAAGAAAATAAAAATAGAAACTTTTTATTTTATATTGCAAAACTTGTTATACTTTACTTATATTCCGAGTCAATCCAAGTCAAAATGCAATCAAATCAAAAAGTTAATAAATTCATTGAAATTAAAATAATAAATGTGTCTTGTACAAAAATCATTTTTAAAGATTTAAATATTTTAGTATTTTTGTTTTTTTGCTTTGAATAAAATTGTTCGCTAATGAAAATATGATTTAAATAAAATATTTTTTTACCCAATTTTTTGAAAATATGGTTTTAATAAAATATTTTTTTACCTAGATCTTTAAAATTTAATTTTTTTTGGAAATATTTTATGATGGGTATAAGAAATATACAGACCATGTTATTTTTAGTAGTGTTTGTGAGGCAACCCAGACAGCAAGTTATACTGGTCCAATAATAATGGCTAGTCGATGCCAGCAAATTCTTTAAAAGCCTGATAAAGTTCCCTTCTTGTATTGCCAGTTCTGGGAAGCCGTAATAGGGCCATTGCCGAAAGGCCAAATTGCCTGAGCTGAGTAGCCACAAAAAAACCATTAATGATCCAACAAAGATTTGCCGAAGCAGAACAGCAGACATTAGGCCGATACTGGCCCATCAGTGGTAAAATCTAATTAATGATGATATAAACAGGAGCATTTGCATTTACTGGGCTGATTTTTGCATCCACCTTGAAAGTTGTTTTTTTTACTTTTCATACAAATATATCTTAAAACTTTGTTGTTTAAAAAAACACTTTCTGGTGATTCTATATTGCGTACATTATAATTTCTAAATGAATTTTAAAAATTAATATTTATAAAAAGAAATTTATGTTTTTTAAATAATTTTTAAATAAATTATTGCAATTAATTCTTTTGTTAAATAAATAAAGTTTTGTATGGGATGTGCTGTTACACTACAAATAACATTATGATCATGATATATTAACATTGTTTGCATCAAACATTAACCATTAAATTAGTTTTAATGTTTAATTTTTTTTCACCAAGCTAAAACTGGTTAAAGAAACTTAAAACCTAATTTATGGTAACTGAAGAATGATTGATATTGATAAAAAAAGCTGATAGAAATGTTGGTTTGATAGAAAAGAAAATATATAAAATGTATGTATATTATTTCGTAGATTACTTAAACAATTTCGCTTTATTTTATTATCTTTTTGATGTCATATTCATAAATTTTCTGTAATATAATTTGAGTGTTATTAATACATTTATCTTTTATATTCTTATAGTTTAGTAGGAATAATATAAAGATAACATTTTCTTTATAAATATAGTATAAGAATGTTGTGTTATGCAAAGTTGTTAAGTCAAAAAAAGTATACCTAAGTATCATTAACATATAAAGCACTAGATAGGAAAAGTTACCAAGTCTATATATCTAGATTTGAGCATATAAGTGTTTTTAAGAAAATAATTTGAAGAATTTGTGATTGACTTTATTTTTTTTCTAGGAGTTTAATCATTATTTAATATATTTTTCAAATAAATTTGCCTATTTGTTTACTTATAAATACAAAAAATTAAACCAACAAGGTTGTGATACTTATTATTAGTGTATAGTCTAACAAACGAAGATGGCGGATTTTAACAGCTTTTCACAGACTAACAAACGAAGATGGCAGATTTTAACAGCTTTTCACAGTTTAACAAATGTAGATGGCGGATTTTAACAGCTTTTCGCAGTCTAACAAACGTAGATGGCAGATTTTAACAGCTTTTCACAGTTTTGTATATATTTATTGTAGTGTTGAAAATATAATTAAGTTTTTTGCTTTTACAACTTCTAGTTATAAATGGTTTTATTTGTTGGCTAGTCTATTTATAAAAAAATTATGTTGACTGTTTGATTTTTTAGATTGTTGTTTATGTATCATTTATTGCTGTCTTTTTGATAAATATTGGAGAATTATGTCAATTTATTATATCATTTATTACATCATATTTATTATATCAAGTCATAAGTATAGTTAGATGTTATGTATAGTTATATCACATCACCTCTTGATCTTCTAATTTTTAATGTGTAGAGAAAGGTTTATCAGTGAGTTTTTACATGATAAATCTTTTAAACTATAAACACGAATTGCTCTATGTTGCAGTTGTTTAGTCATAATACATGTTTCCGTATATGTAAACTCCTTAATGAGGTTCAATATTCAAGGTGAGGTCTTACTAATGATGCACTATTAATGTTACATTTCTTTTATCTAAATATTTTAAGAAGTGTTTGATTTGCCCTAATGTCAAACTTCCAAATTTTTTTTCTCTATTTATATTCTTCCAAATTCATTTTTTCTCTATAATTTCATTTTTAAATCGCTTTCATTAAAAGTTATAAAGAATTGCTAATAATGATGCTATTGAGCTGGGTTTTTTTAGCATGTAGCTTATTCCTAAAAATATATGTAGCATGTATTTTTGTATATTTCCTTTTAGTATGTGGCATATATTTTTATATATTTTGTTTTAGTATGTCTCCTCCAAAGGTTCTGTAACTGATAATAAAACTCCATTCAACAGATTTGATGTCTTTTCTTATTTTGTTATTTTATATGAAAAAACTTTAAAGAAAATAATTTTATTTATTAGATTTAATAGTACTGATGTTTTGTTTTTAGAATTTGTTTAATGTGCCACCATACCATTAATGTGCCACCACATAAATGTAGAAAATATTAATAAAGCTATGGCATCAAAAGTAATCTTGACACAAAAATGACAAATCTCAAGTTAAATGGTTCATCAAAATCTGGTAAGTTTACACTTAATCAAATAAATTATTAATATTTCTGTTTTCAGTTTTTAATTGAAGAAAAAGTTCTTTTACCTTATTATTACTATTACTAATGACTAGATTTACTGTGTTTTATAAAATAGTTTCTGTGTATAAAAATATTTAGGAAGATTAATAGGCATTTTAATTTTTATAATTTTAAATTTTTTATTTATTTTTTGTTTATTCAAAATAATTTTTACAATAACAGAATGAATAAAATATATAAAATAAGAGTTACATATTTTGTTGACTTAACAACGCAGATACTCGCAGAAGGTTATAAGATATTGTCATCGAGAACCGCCTAAACAGATTTTAAATTAAAAAATATTTAAGATGCTTTAAATTGTAATTATACTGTGGCAACATTTTAAAGTTATCTATTTTTATTAAAATGATAAATTGCGTGTCATATACTAGAATCTGCTGTGAATTAAATTAAATTGCGTGTCATATATTTAGAATATGCTGTGAATTAAATAAAATATCATGAAATATCAAATCTCAAGACATAAAATTTTTAATAGAGTTTTTCTCCATAACAAGTACCACATGTTTTAATAAATATATTTGTAAGTATCCTGCATTAGGTTGTAATTGTAAATTTTCATTGTGTTAATCGTTACATTTCAGTTCACAAAGTTATAAAAAGAAAACTCAATCTATGTAACTATGGATTGTTTTTAATGGATTGAACTTTTTCGTCAATAATAAAAATAATTTTTATTGTAACATGATAACCATGTTGTTTATAAGTTGTGTCCATTTTGTATATATGTTACTATATTGTATAAGTATATATGTTATAAATTATTAAGTTGTGCTTATGTTAGTTTTTATTTTATTAAAGTTAAAACGGATGCAAGCACTAAAGAAGACATTAATTGCAAATTGAAGCAGAAATTTATAACGAATCATGTTGATGATTAGATAAGAATTGCAGAAAAGCACCATTGTCGAATGATTATGAATCAAATCTTTGTATTATAATTGCGTAAATATATTTTGAAATTTAAGCCTGTTTTTCAAATTTGTTCAAAATAATTAAACTTGTCAATAATCACGTCTCAATTTCATTTCAAAAAAAGTCATTTTTTTATTAGATGATATATCTTAATTTTTTGTTTCTTTTTTAACTTTATATTAAGCACTGCATTAATACAATTTACAATTTAACAATTTGTAAATAGTATTTATAAATTGTTAAATTATAAATTTTATTAATGCAGTGTTTAATATAAAGTTAAAAAAGAAACAAAAAATTAAAAGATTATTAATTTTACAGAATTAGTTTGATAAGCTGATTGACGAATGTCGTTATTATTTCGTAAAATGTATTTAGCTTTTTCTTTTTTGTTATACAAATTATGAAAAGTTACAGGAGAAATATTGTTTTTACATTTAAACACGCTAAAAAACGTTAAAAATATTAAGCTCTTATATATTTAAAACCTTCATTTTAATTAATAGAAACTTGGCATGAGTAAATCGATCCTTAAAATTAATAAGGCGTGCAACATATTTCTGTTGACGATAAAGAGGTTCCTGTTTACTTTTACTAGTACTACCCCACAGAATGTTTGCTAAATTTTATCGATGGATTTAAGTTAATAAATTTAGCTGAGAATGATAATAGAATAAGTCTAGTAGAAAAAATATTTTATTAACTTGTTGGCGTCACTTTTGGGGTGAGGGTGAAATTTTAGGGCTTTTTTGTTCCCAGCCTATTTCAGCTTATATAGCTATTGATATATCATAACTATTAGATCCAAAACTGAAAATCAAATTTTTAAGAAATAAAAGACAAAATGAAACAAGAATGCGAGACAAGTAAATGAAACAAGAATGTGAGACAAGTAAATGGATTAAAAGTTGCTATAAAGCTAGCTGTTTAGCTATTTCCCAGCGGGAATTCTTACGTAAACAGAAACAAACCAATTTCTGCAACAATTGTTGCAAAACAAACTACTTCCAAATGCTGTAAATCTTTTTGAAACTGTTCAATCTTTTGAAAAGCAAGCTTTAAATGTGACATAGCTAACAATAAACATACAAAATAATTACATAAAAATAGTTTGTGAAAAAATAAAAGTAAAAATTGGTTCTTTTGAATTCTACTTTAAAAATTTTGTTGCGGATTAAATTTAATATTTTCAATCTTGTGAAAGCTTTAGCAGCAATCAGAAAGTAGCAAATGAATACCAGTAGTTTAAGGTTTTTGACGGCTATCAACTAATCGTTATGGAATAAACCAAATTAAATGACGCTAAACGACTTGAACCACAATTAATAACACTGTAATTAAATTTATATTTTTTTAATAATACTTTCTAAACATGCTTGTTGCTGACCAAGTTTTAAAATTTTAGTCTAATCTAATCTGATCATTATACATATATATTTTTATCGACTGTAATTGATTAACACTTGACTTAAATTCAAATTCATGAAAAAAATGAACCGCTCGGATCTAATTTTGCTCATATTATTGTTTTCAACAGCATATATCAACTGTCAAATTTTAAGTTCAAGATTAGGATACGAGCCAATATGCAAGAGGGTCAGTTTTGTATCATGTCGACGGATTTGTTTTAGACTTTGTCGTGATATTTGCAAAAATGTTGTAAAGGAAGAATGTCAAGCATAGCATATTTACCTTTGGAAACAAAAAGCTTAAGCTAAATAAAACTTGAATTAGAACTTTTGAAATGTAATGATAATGTAATAATTTTTTCAGTTTATATGTAATTATTATTTATAAAAAAGTAGAAATGCTTTAAAAATTGAAATGTTTTTAAAAAAACTTCTATCTTTGAATGTTTTTTTTATTATTATCTTTATTTTAAACTTTTTCATTTTCCTATCTCCATTTCCATTCCCCCTCATCACACCCACACTTCATTTTTTTTAATTCTATTTTATATAAAATATTTACGTGGTTGCTAAAAAATAAATATGTTGCTTTGTAACTTTACATTTACAAATTTTACTAACGTTGACATGGAAAGTTTATAACAATTTTTTTTTTTGTTCAATTTAGAGAGATAGCAATACCAAAAAACGCCTAAAAAGCGCAAAAAAAACTATTTAATAAATAAAAAAAACCTGTTAATAAATATTTAAACTAATTTAAGTTTAAAAATTTATTATCAGGTACGTATTTCGAAGTGTTTTCTCAAAGGGTACCTTTAAGAAGCAAAATAAATAAATAAATTTTGATGTTTTATGAGGATATTTATGTTTGAGGGGGCAATATATAAGTTATTAGATTTAACCATTTGAAGAAAGAACAAACTAATCTGTTTGGTCATCCTCATTAATTGTTCGCATAAATTAGAAAAATTTGGGTAATAAAGTAGACCATTTTTTAACAAGAATATCTTATTTAAAAATGGACCCTTTTTTAACAAGAACATCGCAAAAACCAGAAAAATTTGGGCAAAAAATGTACAACTTTTAACAAGAATAATATTTAACAAGAAAATGTTTTACAAATCAAACTGTAAAGGTTTTTATATGTTTGTTAAAAATTTATTAATATAAGAAAAATCAAAATATACGTAAAGCTTGTTTTAAAACTTAAATATTTAAAAAAAAACTTAATACTAAAATATGTAAAAAAAATCAATTTTTTTGGTTCAGCACATTATAAATACACTTAAGAATAAAAGATAAAAATATAAAAGAATTTCATTAAGCGGTAAAAAGTCATTTGTTGAAAAACCAAAAAATTGCACAAAAAGTTTAAATTAATTAAAAACGCAGTTTTAAAAACTACTTAAAATATATTACGTTTGCTCTTGCAAATAAATTACTTCATTACCTTAAGCATAACACAACCTTGAATATAATCAATTAACCTTTACATAAGCGCAACACAACCTTGAATTTAATCAATTAATAGAATCTAAACTTAATTAAAAATCTCATTTTTTATCAAAATTTGTCAATTTGACAACATTATAAACATAAAAAATTTATAACTGCAAAATATTTAGTTGCAAAGTTTATAAAGATTCTAGAACCGCCATTGGACAATAGTGTTTAAACTTGAAACAATATCATAACTCAAAAATATCATCGTTTTTAATTATAAAAAGAAATTGTAGAATTTCTATTGGAGGAATTAAGAATAAATTGAAAAATAGACAAAGCTGTCTGTTTGATGCTATGAATGCATGTTTTAATGTTAATATACAAATGCATGTTTTAATGTTAATATACAAATATTAGGGGTAGTATATTAAAATTTTTGAATTTTAATATACAACGTTATAACGTTGGAAAATCAAACGTTGTAACATCCATACCTGTTTAAAAAAAAATCACTCCAGTAATTTTTTTTTACAATACAGGTATGGATCTATTTTTTTAAATAAAAAAGGAAGTTAAGAATAAAACTGCTTTACTATTTTTTGTGCTAAAACCGTTAAAAAAGTGATTTTTTTTTCTTAAATAATTAGGATAGTAAAATACTTTATGTAAAACTTCTTATTTTGAATTTCTACAATTATTTTATAATATTTATGTCATAATACCAATTCTAACTTTAGACTATTAAAATGTTAAATGAAGTACTTATTAACCTATTAGAAGTTTTTTAGCAGAAACCATAAGAAATTTACTAATTTGAAGTTTATGGTTCGTTTAAAATAATTTGTTTTTTTTAATAAAGTACATTTGTTGCTTTTTTTAAAAAATATTTATGTAGGTTTAAACCTACATAAATGTATCTATTAGTAAATATTAGTAAATAATTTCTTTGATTTGGTTGAGTATCGCAATGAAAAGCGCGAGGTACTGGGCAGCGTTTGATCGGGTTTCGAGTCGCGATGCCTACACGGATAGCACGGATCCTTATAATGCCTACCTAGCTGTCCCAAGAATGCCACTTATACGGAAAGTTAGCGTACACATCAAGGTACCCTGTGATGCAAATTTCAAATTCATTTAATTTTTTCCGCGGAAAATCATTTAATTTGAATGTTTAAATTAATTCAAGTTTTGACATCATAGTGCGCCAATAAAAACACTTGTTGAATTTGAACCACTCTATATAATTTGATAAAAATTTGTTCAAATGTAGCCAATAGTCACACCAAACTCTGTACAAAATTTCATTCTGATTGGATGACTGGTGTAGGATTTATTGCAGCTTTAGTTAAAGTTTTGTCAGTTTTTTGCTACTTATACCTCAAAGCGTTACCGATTACTTTGAAATTCGGTCACTATTTTTAAAATAACGGTTACATGAGTGTTCTGCTATGGAGTACTAACATATTTTGTTATAATCATTTTATCGGTACATGTGCAGTTTTCATTTTACAGACCAAAATAGTGATTTTCTACTTAAAGCATGATTTAAATAGTCTTATGGTAGTAGTGTCGACACGGCCTTCAAAGTGGAGGGGGTTAACCCCTCAATTTCTAAAATAAAATCCATAATTTCTAAATTAATTGCCTATATTTCTAAAACAAAAGGTCCTCGCAAAAAAAAGAAGTTGGCAGGTTGTGGCTCCCTTGACGGCCATGTATGCTTCGCTTGAATATTCCAACATTTCCTAAGGTACAAACTGCTGCCAAAAAAAAAGAGATAAAAAAGTGCAAAACCTGGTTAAAGGATTACCAGTTAGTAAAACAAAAAAAAGTATATCTCCTAAAACACTTTGTATTGACCTCCTTAAATACATTTACTTTAATAATGAAGTGAAAACTATTAAAACCCTATTTTTTTCATTGTATTACCATCAAATATCTAATTACATTTTAAGAAATGTTTTTTTGATTTTCTCAAACAAAAGATTTTTAATAACTAGTTCAATGTACTCTTTTAATACAAATACTCTATAATATTACTTTTAAAGATGGTGAAAATATTCATTATACGCCGTAAAATATGAAATTCAGCAGACTAATTTCTAATAACTTAAATGATGTTCTTTAAAAATGCTTACTGTTTGGATCAATTATGCAGCGCAACAATATTTCTTTGTACTCTGAATGATTATTATTTCGC